CCTCTGATGGCCCAGCACGTGATCTACATTGTCGGTCAGCTGAGCAAGACCAAGACTGCAGTGGGCATTCTGCGAGGCCAGTACCGACGGTCCAGTGAGGCACTCAGCGGCAGTGATGGCCAGTTTATAGAGATCACCGAGGTAGGCAACGACAGAAGTGAGGCGACAAAGCAGACACTGAAGGACGCCCACCAGGTGCTGCAAGACCCCAACCAGACTGAGGTGGTCATCTCGGAGAAGACCACTGTGCCTATGTGTGCCGAGATTGGCTTCACCTACTTTGTGGGGGCAACCTCGCGACTGCGACTGCGAGGCAGCCTCAGCAAGACCCATCACGGGCACACTGAAACGAGAAATGGGCGACACAGCGTGCACATCGACGGAAGTGTGCGCCTCTTTGTGCTCATCGGCGTGGTGCACGTTTTTGTCCTCACCGGCACTGTCACCATCGACATTGACTGTACGCTGGCGAATGTCTCCAAAGAGATGATGATGCCCAAAACAGGTGAATTGGCTGCTGACTGTAGATCCAGTGCCTCCAGTGAGTCAGTGGTCAGCGCCCGAAGTTTGCACAAGCGAATGGCGGAGAACTACAAGCGGCGAACTACTCAGATGGCCGTCTACCTGCTGGGCGGAGGGCAGACTGCCCACGCCGACATGAGCCAGCTGTACTTTGTGGGCTACTGTCTGGGCAAAGTCTGTCGCCATGAGATCATTCGAGATTCGTATCGCTTTCCCCTGCTGCCTGCAGCCTCTCCCCCGCCCACCGCCCAGTCGCCCTTCCAGTCGACCATCTTTGTGGTGGCCAATCCACTGGACAAGAAGATTCAAACGGACATTCGATCACTGGACGGCAAGAACACAAAGATCGTCATTCTCGGCTCTGAACAGGCGCGCATTGTCCTCTTCAGCATCATCGGCTCGGGCATCATGCTGGAGGGCTACTGGTCGGTCATTGGGCCCACCCGAAAGGTGCTGCTGATCAAGGGGCCGAAGAACGAAGAGGCCGTCGATCTGGACGCCGGCGGGCAGATCACCGTGAAGCTGCTGCGCGGCAATGCCCACTGCGTCCTCGACTTGGAGTGCACCTTTCTGGTGATGGACAGCGACGCGCTCTTCAGCGTCGACAGACACTTCAGTGCGCCCGAAGAGAACATGGTCGGCGCAGTGGCAATCTGAGGCAAGAGATATGTGTGCAAGCAATAAATATCACTTCAAATCAAATCAGCTCAGTGTCGCGATAATGAGGAGATGTGTCGGTGGTGGTTGGTGGTTGGTGACTGTCTGTTTGCCTGCTTGTCGTTGTGCGTTGATCGTACCATACTGCAGTGATAACTGCACGGCACAGGACGAGTAGTGAGGGGTGAACTGTCAACTGTGCGTAAGAGTGAGGGAGAAAGCCTGCTGGAGAAGATGTGCTGTTGATGTGCCTGCTGCTGTTGCCGCCGTTGCCACTGCCATCAGAAAACATCAGCACTGCATCAGCTACAGCGCGGCGACTACTAAAACTTGCCGGCCATGCATCTGCTCAAAGTCAATCTCGTCCATTCGCTTGGCTCCTGCGTCCGACTTCTTCGTCCTACCACTCGTCTCAGTACGCCCCAGTTTACCCGCATTCTCAGGTAAGTGAAGTTGATCGCTGTCATTACCAATGTCAGGACCAAAATCTCCATTTACTCCATTTGTGGCAGTCGTGCAATGTCCAGCAGCCAGTACTTGGTTGAGGAGAAGGAGTACGAGTTCTTGCGTCGACTAGGCATCGAGAAGACGAACTATGGAGTGTTCTCCAAGGACGGCTGGAGTGGCAGTGGAGAGGTGAGAAGCAAAGGGCACTTTGAAACGACTGTTAAAGCGTTACTTCCCTTCAAAAGACCATTAAATCAGTGAACCCTTCTGATGGACGTGTCATCGCCGAAGTGGTGGCCGGCAACCTGGCCGACTACAACCGAGCAGTGGAGCAGACAAAGGACGCCTGGCAGGTGTGGGCAGACTTGCCCGCTCCGCAGAGAGGTGAAATCGTGCGCCAGATCGGCAACGCTCTGCGCGAGAAGAAGGCCGATCTGGGTCGACTGATCTCTCTGGAGATGGGCAAGATTCTCTCGGAGGGCGAGGGCGAAGTCCAGGAGTACATCGACATCTGCGACTACGCAGTGGGCCTCTCGCGAATGCTCGCCGGACAGGTGCTGCCCTCGGAGAGGCCGAACCACGTTCTCCTCGAGAACTGGAATCCCCTCGGCGCCATTGGCGTCATTTCCGCGTTCAACTTTCCCGGTGAGTTTCACTGCTGGTGTGGTTGCTGTGCCGCTTTGCTGGCAACCCGCAGCTTTTACCTTGACCTTTACCAAAAACTGCCTACCAAACACTCTGACTGACCAAGCATGCATTTGTCCACTGTACAACAATGCAAACACACTCCACCACAACAGTGGCCGTCTACGGTTGGAACAACGCCATAGCGCTGGTGTGCGGTAACAGCGTCCTGTGGAAGCCAGCCCCCACGACGACACTGTGCGGTGTGGTCATTACCAAGATTTTGGAATCGATTTTGCGCGCCAACGGCCTTCCCGGCTCCGTCTGCTCGCTGGTGGCAGGCGGCGCCGAGATTGGCTGCGCTATAGGCGAGGACAGTCGGTTGCCATTGGTTTCATTCACCGGGAGCACCCCGGTCGGCCGGGAGCTCGGCGTCGCCGTACAGCGCCGCTTCGGACGCTCCATTCTGGAGCTGGGCGGGAACAATGCCATCGTCGTCTGCGAGGACGCCGACCTTGACATGGTCATCCGAGCGGCGCTCTTTGCCTGCGCCGGCACTGCTGGCCAGCGCTGCACCACCACCCGACGGCTGATCGTCCATGAGCGCCTCGTCGACGCCGTCGTCCAGCGACTGGCCAAGTCCTTTGCCCAGCTGCGGGTGGGCAGTCCGCTGGAGAGGGACACCCTGTACGGGCCGCTGCACACCGAACAGGCGGTGCGCAACTACGAGAGCACCATTGCCAAGGCAGTCCAGCTCGGCGGGAAGGTCGTCTGCGGTGGGAAGCGTATCCACCGACCGGGCTACTTTGTCGAGCCGACCATCATCACCGGCCTGGCGCATGACGCGTCCGTCGTCCAGGAGGAGACCTTTGCGCCCATTGTGTACGTGCTCAAGTTCAAGGAGCTGGAGGAGGCCATCGCCTGGAACAATGAGGTCGACCAGGGACTGTCGAGCAGTATCTTCACGAAGAACCTGGAGACCATCTTCAAGGTACGTCGCCTTTTTCATTTAGTGCTTCATTTAACAATATCTCTTGAACTTTTTTCTGCTGCAGTGGACCGGACCAAAGGGATCTGACTGCGGCATTGTCAACGTCAACATTCCCACTAATGGAGCTGAAATTGGCGGTGCCTTTGGCGGCGAGAAGGCAACTGGTGGCGGAAGAGAGTCTGGTTCTGACTCTTGGAAGCAGTACATGCGACGATCGACCTGCACAATCAACTACTCAAAGGAGCTGCCACTTGCACAGGGAATCAAGTTTGAGTAAAAAATAAAATGCAAATGTTATTTACATGTTGAATAAATCATTGTTATGAAAAAAATGAATATCTCTGAGTCTTTAGGAATCGGTCATAACCTTGAACACATCACTGTCGATGATTCCCTCAATGTACCTTTGTGAGGGTACGAATGAGTTAACTTTGAATATAATGTCATCTTCAACAGACAAATTAGAGCTAACATACTCTTCAACGTCATTTTCAATTTCTTCATCGTACTTTATCGTTACGTCGATGCAATTTACGAGAATGCATCCAATGTACTTTCGGCCAATTCTGCAGGTTAAAAGGCAATGATTATCGAATGCTTCAGCTAAGCTTAAAGCGAAAACACACCTGTTAATTTTACTTCTTACAATTTGGTTAGTTGATACGCTGAAGATGTGAAAGTTTGCCTTAATCTTCCAAAATATCATCGGGCCGTCATCAATGATTCGACCGGTGTCGTCTAAAAACTCCATGTGATTCCATCTCAATAAAATTCCGTTTAAACTTTGAAAAAGAGGCGAATAAATAACCACGCATTGAGAACAAAAGAAACATACTTACTCAGGATTGTATTTGAACTTGCGTTGCGCCAGCAGTTTGTTGACTGCAGATTTTTCTTTTCCAATAAACTGTGGAAAAAGACCAAGCTCAAGCTCTTTGGTGACCGACTTTGTCAGAGCATCTTCATCTTCGATTGTTAAGTTCATTTTAATTTGCATTGAGTTGATTCAGTTCCAGTTTTTGCAAAAACCGGCAGGGCCGGAGAAAATCAAATAAACAAAACAAAAATTCTCATCACGTGTCTGCACGATACTTCGATAGCGACGTGCAAGTACTATCGATATAAGAGCGCGAAAAATACTAACACAAAAAGTGGATTCGACATTTCAAAAGTGCCTTTTATTGTTTGCTAAATTATCTGATGTGCTCGTTAACAGTAATGTAGGTACACATCTTTGGCTGATCTTGAAAAGAGGCTAACGTCAAAACAAACATGAAATGTCAGGATATATTAAACATTTTAAAACAAAACAGTGAAATATATTGTTTGTGCAAGTGGATTAAATGGGAAGAGATGTGTGGGTGGTGTTTGTCAATTAAAAGTTAGACTGTAAGTTTGCCAAAAAGTTCAGCAAGATAAGTAACAGCAATACAGATCTATAGATGCAAAGTCAATCAGAAGACTTTTCAAGACGAAATCAACAAAGAATGTGTCGTTTCTGATGAATATCAAATTATTAGTCCGACCCATTAATCTGGTCCACTATGTTGCATATCTTGAGAGAGCAACCAAGTTTAATGCCCATATACTTAATGAGAAACTCATTTGTCAAGAGGCGAAATGCTTTTCCATCGATTTCCTAAGAGAAAGAATTGCGTGATTAAATTTGAAACATTTAAACTATACACACACTATGACTTACTTGAGATCTGAAAAGGCTTTCGTACTTGCTGAAATCGGGTAACATCGAACTAAGAAATGCAATCACCTCATCCTCTGTCCAATTTTCCACTATGTTTGGGTCGGGTAAATTACCATTATGGGTTGAGATGGCTGACGGCTTTTTGCATGCATTAACAACTGGCACGTGATTTGTCGTCAGAATAACAGCGTTGTTATTGTTATTGTTTAAAGTCAAAGCAGCGTTTTGCGATATGGGTACTTTGGACTGTAATGACCCCACCAAAAACTGACCTTGCTGCGACATGATAAGGGGATTCGGCACAACAGTCGTCTGTGTTGTCGATTTGTTGAAGGTGTGAAACGACGAATTGTTTTGTGACATAATGCATGGTTTCATTGTATGCATCACTGCTTGCGATTTTCGCGGTTCGGAGTTCATCAGCGGAGGTTGCGGTCGCTTGAACCCTCGATTGTTATTTTGTGTATTGTTCATCTGCAATGTTGAGGGTTGAGTCACCAGCACTTGACAATTAGTAATCACTGGCTTCTGCATAAACTGTGGCTGCTGCACTTGATGCTGCTGCTGTTGATGCTGCACTTGGTGTTGCTGTTGTTGCAATTGTTGCTGCTGTTTGATTTGCTCCCCGATATTGTTTCTTTTTGGAGAAATGTGAATATTGTTGCTGTTGTTGCTGCTAACTGACTTAGATGATACAAAGATGCTACCGATGGGCACCATAGTTGTGCCCTGAGATGTGGTTTTAGTCAACGAGAACTTTGAAGCTGTGAATTGCTGTGGGTTTCTGATCATGTTCGCTCCAACTACAGTTGAGGTGGAGGAAGGAACAGGCAAAGAAGGAGGAAGTAAAGGAGAAAGAGCTGAAGCAGTAGCAGGAAGTTTATTCGTGCTGACCGAGATGGACTTGTGTGAGTTTGTAGTGGCTGAATGGTTTACTGGAGGCAAACTGTTTTGTGTTTTGGGAGGCTCATTCACTAGCTTTGCGCCTGTTGGAGCCGAACTGTTTGCATGAACCTCAGCGCCAGTGAGCGGCTTAGGCGTCGTCAGCTTTGCTTCATTTTTGTTGTTTATAACAGTATTCTTCGGATGCAGCGTTTGATTGTTTGTCACAGTGACCACGCTAGCTTTGTTGACAGTCGATAACGGCTGTTCTACTTGACTGGTCTCTTTGTCTTTCTTGTTGACGTCACCTGCGGTAGAGGTGGACGCTCTGACAGCAGTACTGACTTCCTTTTCGTCCGTCTTGAGATTACTATTGGTGCTATCACTTTCCGTTTTAACGTGAATTTCAGCTATAAAACAAAAACATTTGAATAAATCTACCCAACATGGTTGTCTAGAAACAGCATACCTTTTGGTCCAGGTTGCTGCAAAAGGTTGCCCGTCTTTTTGCACCAACCGACGGGAAACAAAGTTCGGGCTTTGTAGCTGCACTTGTAGTCGTTGCTGTCGTCCCATCCGTCAAGATGAATCGTCACATGGTCCTTGTCGACTGCGGCGATTGTTGCAGGACAGATATTGGACGGGTGCTTTTGATCGACTGCCTCCAGTTTCATGCCTTGCTTGAAGAGGTTTTCACGAGGCTCCTGAGGAGGCTTTTTGAAAGCAGTCTTTGGTGCAAATTCAGCACTCTTCAGGATTGACTTGCAAAACGAATTGTACGAAGCAGCGTCTTTTCGAAAGCGGAGCGGAGCTGCAAAGTACTTTTTCCGCTCGAGACGTGCACCGACTGGATGGATTGCTTGCGAATCAACTAACTCAAAAATGTCATTACTGCTATCACAGCCGTCCAATCTTAACTGCAATCGTGGGCCGACATAGCTAACCACTGATGCCAGGTGAACGAAATCAAAGTCATTGGTTGGACTGTTGAGTTCTAGTTTCTGATTCACTCGAAATTCGTTAACTGGCGGCTCGGGTGGCTGATTGAAGCACTCGCTCGGCGCCGGGACGCCATTTTGTGCCTTTAGGTATTCATCCCATTCAAAGCTTTTAACAGGTTTAAGAATCTTAGGCTGTCCCTTTGCCTGCACCTTGGCCAAGTCGTTGCCGTTGATACTCATGATGACAGTTGCACTGGTAAATGGATACAGACAAAAGATAACGTAAGTCATCTGGCAAACAGAGATCCTCAGTCATTCAGTAGAAACGAACCTTCACTTCGGAAGAGCAGATGATACAAAACAGGGATGATTATGGTGGTCATGCGAGAGCTCGTAATCGAGCAGACGGTGCTAGGATAAAAAGAGAACGTGTAGAAACGACAACGCGTCAGAGCGCGTGGCAACGCGAAAGGGTGAATATGTGGTGTGTGGGTGAGAAACCGAAGCGTAAGACGCAGTGATTACAAATGTCAGAAGTGGCAAACGGTTTATTTACATCCGCCTGGTGGTGGTGGTGGTGGTGTTGTTGTCAGCGCTCCAATGATCGGCTGCCGCACGAGCAGCTGAGCTATATGAAGAAGGGGGTCACTCGGTCGGTGGACCGACTGTGGAAGGCACTCGGTACTGCTGCTGCTGCTGCACAGTCTCCTTGCTCCACTGAGACTCCACTGGGATTCGGTAGACGCCACACTGAGCACCTATTTCCCTGGTGCAGGCACAGGCGCTCATTGAGGAGAAAGAGTGTGCGAGGGCGACAAGAGATGCAAGACCAGTGCTGTGCTGTGCACTGCTGAGCGCGCGCAGCTTTGCCAGCTGCTTTGCGCTGTGCGCGCGTAGAGGACGTGCCATAAATGGAAAATGCGCGCGCGATTGGCAATGCCCATTCTGGGGACTGGTTTCCGCAGAAGGGAACTCTAATTGCTTCAATTGACGTTGATCCATCAGACTGATCATTGGCCTGTTTAGTATATTCCCTCACTCAAAACAAAATGTGATCTTTTGTGTATTTTTCTTTTTTTCTTTTTTGAAAAATGAGCGTTCCCTCTACTAGTCTGGGTTTTAGGTGAATCAGTGCTTGCCACTGTAAATATTGATTACAAAATGTCAATTACAATAAAATTATTTTAGATTTGATTTGAAATCAGGTTGGCATCGCGTGAATAAAGCTAATTATGCGAGTTTGACATTTCAACGATTTTTTTAAAAGGGAAACATTTCTATACGTCTTCTGTGAACGGCAGTGCGGAAAGTTTGCTCAGTGTTTCTCTTTTCTGAAGGTGAAAATATCTCGTGTACAGTTCTCGCTTCGGCCGGTTTGTTTGGGTTCACTCTTTTCTGAAGTTTAACTTGAATCCACTTCGATCACACCCACATCCACAATGTCGAAGCTTGTGGCGAAAATCCCTCTTCTCATCAATGGTAAGACTGCTTTTATCACCCAATATGAGTAGGGCTCTGTACCTAATCTCACCTTTGTTTTGACGTTTTTTGCAGCTGCGAAGCCTAAGCTTCGTGAGTTCAACCGATTCGCCAAAACCGAGCTGTACCCTCCTACCCCGGCTGATATTCCTCAGATCCTCAGTGGCTTTGGCAGACTCGCTGGAGGCCTGAAAAGTGGCAAGTGGAGGGAGTTGCCCGTNCCCTCTTCTCATCAATGGTAAGACTGCTTTTATCACCCAATATGAGTAGGGCTCTGTACCTAATCTCACCTTTGTTTTGACGTTTTTTGCAGCTGCGAAGCCTAAGCTTCGTGAGTTCAACCGATTTGCCAAAACCGAGCTGTACCCTCCTACCCCGGCTGATATTCCTCAGATCCTCAGTGGCTTTGGCAGACTCGCTGGAGGCCTGAAAAGTGGCAAGTGGAGGGAGTTGCCCGTCAAGGAAGCCTTTGTCAACTATTTGATCGCTGTCGAAGTTATCTGCTGGTTTTACGTCGGAGAGGTCATCGGCAAGCGTCACGTCCGAGGCTATGATGTTTAAACCTTAATATCTGTGTACCATAAACAGCAGAATCTGCAATGCTAGGAGTCCTCTAGTGAGTGAAGCAATTAAATAATTATCAATTCGCATGTATCCCCTTTGACCTATCAAGCACCGAACGCTCACGGCAGATGTTTTATGGTGCATTACTGCTACCAGCCTAACTACCAGTGTCATATTGCGATTACACTCTCCACTCGCCCCTGTATAGCTGGGCAAACAAGCGACAACAAATGTTTGCTTTTCTGTGCGAGATTAAGTCAGGTCTCTCGAGTGCTCTCCGCAATACCGTTATTGCGGTCCGGTACTGGCAAACAAGCAGCGACACATCCCCGAAAGCATCCAATTGGAAGTGCACAGTGCAGACAATGCAGTGTGCGGTTATGTGCGGTTAATATCCGCGCGCTGGCTTACTGCGGCAGTGGAGGTATGCGCTGCCTATGTGTGCGTGTGTGTTGTGTCTGTGTTGGGGTGGGCGATACCGAACATAGAGAGTGAGAGAAAGTGGTATGGTCGGCGAGTGAAGGAATGGTGGCACTCGAAGACGGTGGCAGTGCCGCCAAACGCTCACTCTTTCCCTGTCGTTCCATCGTGGGCAGAGCTTTCAATTTGTTGGCTGCTGGAGCTGGTGCTGCTGGTACTGTTGTTCCCTCTCCTGCTGGTCCTTCACTCGCCACTGCAACATCACAGCAGCAGCAGCGGCGACGGCGGCACATGCCTGCCGTGTTCGATGGCGACCAGTGCACTGTTGGTACGCGGCCAACAAAGAAGGCACTGCTACTGTTCGAGGGTGGCCATTTGCCCGCCGAGACTGACACCGAACGAGTCGCACCAAGACGACAATTACTCGGCAACATCGCACGCCGACGCTACTTCACTTGGTCATCCCCTTCTTCAGGCCTTCTTCAGTTTCCTTTGACCTGTGTGTCTAAATTCTAAACTCAACAACGACCCTAGTGTTAATTTGACCCGCATGACCGACCATGGCATTTGCCATATACCTGCACCGAGAGAACTTTGTGCCTGAATCGCCGCTAATTGTCGACAAGAACGTCTCCGATGCGAATGTGAACTTTACCTTTGTTGACTTTGTGCCCGGTGTCATCAAGCGCTCCAACACCGTCATTCCGCAATGCGAAGTGGAGTATCACTCATTCAGGTTTGTGCTGCCTTCCAGAAAACACATTTTTTTTCTTCTAGGTCCATCCCATCACTTTTCACCACCACTACTGTTGTTGTTTCAGTTGTGTGTTTCAATAAGCTGCAAAATGGAGACTTTTCTTGCTGTATAGTCGAAAATGGAGCCCCCTTTTTATCGGAAATATTAGGCGCACTCATCGAAAGATGCTTTTCGATGTAACGATGAAAAATGACTTGCAGTTTGGCAGACTGTCCATTGTAGTGGCCCATGGCTAATGGGAACTAGCTGCTGCCAGAATGGCTTTATGCTCCCTTACCAGCCCGCAATCACCCTCTTGCCATCTATTTTTTACTGGCTATTCTCCAAATGACATTTTCTAATACTGAACCATCTATCAAATGATGCCTTGCGCTCGCACTCGCTTCCACACTTCCTCCTGCCTCCTGTCACCTAATTCAGTGCTCGGCCAACTGGCGACGCTGAATTCGGGAGCTCAATTTGAAAGTGATCTCACAATTTTGGTGGCCACCACCACCATCACCATCATCCTCCTCCTGTCAGCTGTTGGCGGCATCTCAGCTCGTTTCTGTTTAGTTCTTTAGCCAGGTAGCAAGGTGCACTCGCCTGCCTCGCCCTTTGTCTTCACATCGAGGGTGGCTGCCTAATTACTGGCTGGCTGCCTGCCTGCCCAGTGCTGCTGTACACCGTCACTCCTTCTGACATAGACTGAAGAGTTTGCTGAGCAAAAGTGGCAGCCACATGAGCAGCGACAGCAGTGATAACAGCAGCAGCAGCAGCAATCCCGTCGTCGGTTGCAGTCGTTGGCTCGTCATTACCGCAGGTAGTATGTGTCCATCGCAATGGATGCACTGAATAATTTATCAGCCCTCTAATGGCTATGCTGATGAACACGGGCTGCATTTGCCTACAATTGCTATTCACAAGGGCACACGGCGCAGACGGCGAAGAGTTGCGGGCAATTGCGGTGCTGCTGCTGCTGCTGAGTGAATTGCGCTCGGTGGTTTGACTCGGCAAAGGCTTTGCCACCACCAGCTTTGCTTGCTGTTCTTCACTGGCCACTTCACTTTGCCGCACAACAATTCATTTGCACAATTCATTTGTGTGTTAGGTTGACTGATCTCACCCCAAGACCGGGCTTACTGCCAGAGAGGTACTGCAAGTCAAATCAAGTCCGCATTTGCAGTTTGCGATTCTCTCTGGTAAATTCGTTGTTTGGTTATCGCGCCGTTTATCGGCCAGCAAAACTGCTCTGACCGAACACACACAAAATTGCACAATTGCTTTTCCTCTAATTCGATTTGTTCCCTTTTTTATTGTCGATTGCCCTTTGTGCATTGCTCGCTATTACTTTCTCCTCGACTATACGATCGCTTTACGATCACTGCACTGTTTATTGTTGGCTAGATTAATTCTAATAGTGCGACGACTGCTCTACAGGAGAAAACCAGTGGCTTGACCACTGCTGAATATTGCCCCATTTAATGCGCTTTAATTTTAACCATTGGCTGGTGGTGGTGGTGGTGGTGGTCACTGGGAAATGCAAATTGCAATTCAGTAGAATCCTCAGTGTGTCTCTGTTGCAACCTTTAATTGAGCAGTTTAATTAATTTCGTTGTTCCTCATTGCCAACGTGTGTTTGCGTGCCAGTGACACTCATAATTAGGCTTACAACATCAAGTTGGACGATTAATGTGCATGCAGGGTAGTCTTCCATGTGGAAACTAAAAACGGGAGTAGCAGAACACGTTGTGCAATAACTTAGAGGACATAGAAAACTAGTGCCCGTGGTTTGCCAGTGTTGGTGAATTGAGACAAACTAATTACTGGAATTGTCTCGTTAACAGCGCCATGATGGAGGTGGCCAATGATTGGCTGCAGAAGAATGGTTCCATCTGGCAGGTGGTCAACTGTGAAACGGTTATCTTCCTCTACAAGTACAATGACACTACCAACAGCTACGAACTGAAGCCCAATGACTGCTGCTTCTACATCTACGGCTCAGAGAAGAACAATGTGCTCAAAGGACTGAGGTAGGATA